TAAGCTTACCATTAGAGAATGGCTTGCTTTTAGGATTCAATGCAGACATAACGAGGCACAAACTATATTGCGGTCAAGAAGGTTGTTTCAACAATTTTTGGTTGATGGATTTACTATGATGGAGTCACAAAGATTGAATTATATTCGAAAACATCAGAAAAAGTTGCGTGTTTCTAAATATTGCAATTTGAGCTCATCTGAACAGAATGCAAACACTCAAGGATCAAACAAAGGTAAAAGAGTGGTTTTACCTTCAACTTATGTTGGAAGTCAGAGGTTTATGGAACAACTCTATTTTGATGGAATGGCAATTTGTAGCCAAGTTGGATTTCCAGATCTTTTTATCACATTTACTTGCAATCCCAACTGGCCTGAAATCCAAAGGTTGCTTAGCAAAATTAACTTGAATTCTCAAGACCGTCCAGATATCATCTCAAGAGTCTTCAAAATTAAGTTCGATGAGTTGTTGTGTGATCTAACAAAAAAGCACGTGTTAGGGAGAGGGATTGCATGTAAGTCAATTTAATACCCTTTCAGTCGAGTTATATTTTTTGACATTAATCTTATTAAACATGTAATATGCATCGTTTTACTAAGTTTAAACTTACTTAATTTCAGATATATACACCATTGAATTCCAAAAGCGGGGTTTACCACACTCCCATATACTATTATTCTTGCATCCTTCAAGCAAGTATCCGACTCCAGATGATATAAACAAGATCATTTCAGCAGAGATACCAATGGAAGAAGATGATAGGAAACTCTACCATTTGGTCAAGACACATATGATTCATGGCCCATGTGGTTTAGCAAATGTGAATTCAACTTGCATGAAAAATGGAAAGTTCTCAAAATACTTTCCAAAGAAATATCAAACCGAAACCATTGTTGATCAGGATGAATATCCCGTGTACCGAAGAAGAGAAACTGGTAATACAGTGCTGAAAAAACACGTTCAACTTGATAACAGATATGTAGTTCCTTACAATCCATATTTGTTGAAGAAATTCCAAGCACACATCAATATGGAGTGGTGTAATCAAAGTACTTCAGTTAAATACTTATTTAAGTATATTAACAAGGGGTATGATAGAATTACTGCTGCTGTTGTCCAAACTGACGGTGATGGATCTCCCTCGGCCAGAATGGTTGACGAAATCAAGCAATATCTTGATTGCAGATATATCTCACTAAGTGAGGCATGTTGGAGACTTTTTTCATTTCCTATTCATGGTAGATCACCCGCAGTTTAAAGGTTGTTCTTTCATCTTGAAGGAGACAACTCTGTTTATTATACCGATTATGAATTGATAGATGAGGTGCTTGACAAACCAACTGTGAAAGAATCTATGTTTACAGCATGGATGGAAGCAAACAAAGCATACCCAGAGGCAAAGAATTTGACGTACTCACAATTTCTTTCCAAATTTGTTTATGATAAAAGATACCTTCGATGGAGACCGCGTAAAAGAGGAAATACAATTGGCAGACTTATCCAAGTACGGGTGAGTTATATTTCTTGAGAATGATGCTAACAATCGTCAAAGGTCCAACTTGCTATGAGGATATAAAATTTGTGGGTGGAAAAGTTCAGGATTCTTTTAGGGATGCATGCTTCGAAATGGGCTTTCTTAACGATGACAAGGAATATGTTGCAGCCATCGACGAAGCAAAGAATTGGGGTTCCGGGCATTTTTTACGAAAGTTATTTGTCACTATGTTACTATCCGGTACTGTCAATAGACCACGACATGTTTGGGAAAAAACTTGGAGGACGTTATCTGATGGTATCCTCTACCAACAAAGGCAAAAAAACAAATAGAAGAGGTATGAACACTTTATTAAACTTTTTTAAGTCAACAAATATTATTTTCCGAATGCAAGCTATATCTTTTTTTATTATAAAATATAATGATATGAACTTACTTTAAAATATAATTATTCTTCATCCATATGTCCCTTATTTAATATGTTTCATAAGGTATGTCCATTTACGTAAGAAACATTTTCATATTTGTCATTTGTCATGTATGTAAGTTATTTTTTTAACTTGCAGCTGCAACAGTGTCTTTGGTTCCATTTAATTTCACGCAGCCGCAACATCAACTGTTTGATTTATGTTCAATGTATTTCAACATCACGACAGTAGTTGCATCATACATATGTAATTATATAGAAAACTAATGAAATTTTTTTAACATAATTGCAGCTATCGGACAATGAGTTAAAGAATCTCACACTAATTGAGATTAAGAACATGATGCAATCGAATCGAAGAAGTTTGCATGAATTTAAATGTATGCTGTATCCAGATTCATACATCACAAAACATGTTGGCAATAGGCTTATTTATGACGAACTTAATTACGATGCCGATACCGAGAAACAGAAATTCCAAGAACTTTTTCATGCCCTTACAGGTGATTTATTTTCTTTATACTATGAATTACAAAAATGATTTTTATTGTCCTTGCACTTATAATTCTTGGTTTGTATTTTATAGATGAACAACGTTTGATATTTGAGAAAATCATGGATGCTGTTAACAAACAGAGTGGAGGGGTATTTTTCTTGCATGGTTACGGAGGGACTGGTAAAACTTTCATGTGGAGAACACTATCAAGTGCACTTCGTTCTCAAAAAAAAATTGTTCTTACTGTTGCTTCAAGTGGGATAGCTTCGTTATTATTGTTGGGTGGAAGAACAGCATACTCAAAGTTCAAAATACCTGTGCCAATGCTTGACAACTCAACTTGCAACATCGACAAAGACACCGAACATTCTCAATTATTTGAAGCAACGGATGTGATAATATGGGATGAGGCACCTATGTCTCACAAGAACCGCTTCGAAGCATTGGATAAAACCCTTAAAGATGTAATGAGCAAAAAGGGTGTTGAGAATACTATTTTTGGTGGAAAAGTTGTTGTATTTGGAGGAGATTTTAGACAGATTCTTCCTGTTGTTCCAAGAGCTGGGCGTTCTGATATTGTTCATGCATCAATTAGTTCATCTTATGTATGGGATTATTGCCAGGTTTTAACACTATCAAAAAATATGAGACTTCAAGAGGGAAGAGACAACACAAGTTCTAATGAACTAGCGGAATTTTCAAAATGGATTTTAAATGTGGGTGATGGTAAGATTTGTGAACCCAATGATGGTTTGGTTGATATTGAAATTCCTCAAGAGCTATTAATATCAAATTTTGATGATCCTATAAGAGCAATTATTGAAAACACATATCCCAATTTGTTGGAAAAATATCAAGATGTTGAATTCTTACAAGGAAAGGCTATTCTTGCTTCAACCATTGAAGTTGTGGACAAAATCAATCATTATGTATTAGACTTGATACCAGGTACATGTGTTTTATATTTACTGTATTATTACATTCATAATATATATATATATATATATATATATATATATATATATATATATATATATATATATATATATATATATATATATATATATATATATATATATATATATATATATATATATATATATATATATATATATATATATATATATATATATATATATATATATATATATATATATATATATATATATATATATATATTTAAGAACATAGTTTTACTAATTTATTTATGTTTTGCTTTTAAACTTTTTTTTAGGAGAAGAGAAAGAGTATTTGAGTTTTGATTTCATTGATAGAACAAATTCAAGTTATACTGAAGCATATGAAGTTCTAACTCCTGAATTTCTCAGTAAATTAAGAACGTCAGGGCTTCCCAATCATAGGATCAAATTGAAGGTTGGTACACCTATTATGCTAATGAGAAATTTGGACCAAGCTGATGGGTTGTGCAACGGAACAAGATTAATTGTTACAAGATTTGCAAATCATGTCATTGAGGCAAAAACCATGTCTGGAAAGAACATAGGTAACATTTTTTACATTCCACGAATGTCTATGTCACCTTCTGATTCACATTGGCCATTCAAGTTGATTAGGAGACAATTTCCGATTATTGTCTCCTATGCAATGACAATTAATAAGTCACAAGGTCAATCTCTTAATAGTGTTGGATTGTATTTGCCTACTCCTGTGTTTAGTCATGGTCAATTATATGTTGCAATTTCAAGAGTTAAGAGCAAAAGTGGGCTAAAAATCCTAATTCATGACAAGGAGAATGTACCGTGTTCTACTACTACTAATGTTGTGTACAAGGAAGTCTTTCAAGCACTTTGATAGTTGGTAAACTTTATATCTTATAATTTACGATTCAAATTAAAAATCTATTTTGAATTAAAATATATAGTATGTACATTTTCCATGTATTTCAAGAAGTATATAATTTTTCCTATTTGTTCATGCAGACGTGATTTGTTGATAGGACCGACGCTTGGTACAAATATGGAGTTAAATGCCAACATGGTTTACATGAGACATATACTCAACTGAAAACATGGTAACATACTTAATAATTTAATAATCTATAAATGTAATGTGAATCCAGACGAGACCCGTGCGATAGCACGGGTTTGTTACTAGTTGAAGTGTAAAAATTTAATACGTTATTTTCAAAGACATTAGTCAAATATCGAACCAAAGTGATTAATACGTTATTTTCAAAGACATTAGTCAAATACGTTATTTTAATCTTCATAGTGATTATAACATTATCACAATTATGTGTACTTTGTCTATGAAAGATATAGTTAATGATTAAAATAATAATATTTTTTTATATTATTCAATTATATATAAAAAATCATTTTTGCTGTATTTTAAAATAATATAAAATTATGTAATTTAGATTATTTAACTTTCATTTATGTTTATTAAAGTGTAGTCAAATATATTTAATTTGCTTTTAATTTTATAATAATATTAAATATTTTTGCTTAATTAGAAATTTAATGTTCGGGGTGGCTCATGCTCTATTTAAAAACAAATATGAACATCACTTAAATAAAATTAACGAATTAAAATCCTATAGGAAATACATTTCTTGAAAATTATGGAGACAACAAGAAAAATTTCTTTAACCGTGGCATTATTTTTGGCTTTTTTTATATTTGCATCAGGTATAGAACTAAAGATTGGATTCAAATATTTTGATGAATTGTCTTTTATATTTAAATTACAATAGTGTTCTTATAATTTTTTAAATATTTTTGTGCAGATATGGCAATAGAATCACAAGCAAGAGGAGTGAGTGAAAACACACTTAATAGTTGTGTCAAGAATGCCGATTGTGTGGGTAAATGGCATTGCGATCCAGGCCTAGTTCCCGTATGTGTTCAAGGCACGTGTCTATGTTGGCATTAATCAACATTCTTAGTTTGAAAATTATTAAATAAAATAATGTAATCGTCATATTTTGATGTGGCTTAGAATTATAAATAATATGGAAAATTTGTGTATTTCGACCCAAATCTTAATTTCCATAATAAAAATCAGAAAATCAAATTGTTTTATTTTTAATTATTTATTAAATTTACCCCATTAACCTATTTTTGTAAATAAATATGAATAACTAACTTAGTTTAATTTAGATTTAAATTCTAGGCCTTTTTCTTAATAAAAATAAAATTGCATAGAATTAGGTTTTGATTTCTTTTTTAATCATATTTTATTAATCATTATTATTACCATTATTAATTATTATTATTTTGTACATAAACATGTAAATTAATTAATTAGTAAATTAGGTCAACTTTGACATTTTCTTTAATAATTAAAATAATCTAGAATTAGGGTTGTTACTAACTTTTAAATTCTTTTCTTTATTTCCATAATAAATACAAAAAAAAACATAAAAAGCACTTTCTTTTCTCTAATTCAATAATTAATTAGGTTTTAAGTTTAATTTAATTTCAAGCAAAGGGTCAAAACCCGATGACGTCCTGATTTTTAATTCCGTCGCACGTAATTTTTATTTCTTTTGATTATTATGTAACTGTTCAAGGATGTAGTAGTAATTAGGTTTATTTCTTTTTTACTTTCCGCATCTTTATCAAAAACGGGTCTTTGTATTTTGGCGATGTATAGACTCGCGCCTTGTAATAGCGTAGCTTTTACCTTTCCGTCTTTTAATTTTTCGCACTCCTAACTGCTAGTTGCATGAAAGAATGTATGTTAATTAAAAACAACTCGTAGCTCACGATTGCCTAATCCAAGATAAATATAAACTGAAAACAACACACCATGCACCTGCCACTTCTAGGGTATGCCTCGCTCGTTGCCTCGAAAAGTGGTCGTCAAGTATATGATGTTTTAGCGGTCGCTCTGATGTTTAAGATCCAGTTGCCTCGAAACGGTTGCCTCAGATTAAAAAGGATCTAGGACATTAGGGTTACTTCTAAGGTTTCCTACCATTGCTTCAGTGACCACACTGTCCCTACAATCGAATTGACCCGAACACCTCCAACGGTGGTGCTACCTACCTCTCAATGGTGGGATGGCACTACCTTAAAGGACTTTTACACAGCCTAATTCCTTAGGGTAGGTAGATGACTCATGGGTACTTGCTCTCTTCAAAAAATAAACAAAAATCTTTTCACACTGACACTTCCAAAAGCTTTCGAAACAAATTTTTCAAACACTCTTGAGGACAGATACAAGAGTCATTCAGAAATCTTTCAAAGAAACTTTTTTCAAACCCACTCACATTTTGAAAAGAAAACATTTTGAAAACATAAGAGCAAGTACCTAAGAGCCCATGGATAACCATGGATAGAAATGGTGCTAACACCTTCCATTTCTATAAATCTACCTCCCGAACCGAGAAACGTTCTCATAAGGAATTTTGCTGTGCTTTTGTCCTTTCCATGTTGGAGAATATAAAAGACGGTGGCGACTCTTGCTTCCGCGACATTTCGCGAACCAGCTTTAAACAGTCAGTTCTATTTCCACCGATCACAGCATTCCTGGCAACCCTTCGCGAACTCGACACAATCTTTCAAGATAGTGGGCCAATATAGTCCTTGTCGAAACAACAACCATTTCATCTTATGACCTACTAGGTGAGCCCCACATGCTCCAGCATGCGTAGTCGAAAGGGCTATGTATGCTTCGGTTTCGCTGAAGCATTTTAATAATACCCCTTCAGGCGTCTTTTTAAACAACTCATTCCCCATGAGTACGTAACTTAACGCCCTATATTTTATTTTTCATTATGTCAAAGCTGCTCGGTTTTGTAGATAATCTACAATGGGTTTCCTCCAATCTTGCTCTGATAAATTGTCTATGAACGAAATTTCGAAATCCCTTTGATCGGTATATCCTAGTCTTGTCGATTCCACATCAGTTGGAGACAAGCTGGTTGCTGTCATTTTTTCTCGGACTTCGATTGCTCTTTGTAATCTCGTTTTTGAAATCCTATACCCAGATGAAATTTGTGCAAAATCATTGGCTATTTGGTTTTCCAATCTAGGTATGTGTCGAATATTAACCACTTCGAATTTTTTCAATAAACGATTTGCTATCACAAAGTACATAATGAGATTTTCTCTTATACATTTGTACTCTTTTGTTATTTTCTTAATGACTAACTCTGAGTCTCCCATTATTTCGACTCGAGTTGCCCCCAATTCCAACAATATTTCAAGGCCAGTAATTAGAGCTTCATATTCAGCCTCATTGTTCGAACAAGTACCTTCTATCTTGTACTTGAATGTTGTTGGAATTTTTTCTGGAGAAATAATTAAGACCCCTACTCCCGTTCCATCTTTATGGCTGGAACCATCAAAGTAAAATTTCCAGGGTTCTATCTCCAAGTAATTTATATTTTGTACCTGAATTGAGTGGTCGACTATAAAGTCTACTACCACTTGTCCTTTTACTGCCTTAAGAGGCATAAAGGTTAACAAATACTCAGTTAATGCTAGCGCCCACTTGCCAATTCGACTGTGCAAGATGGGTTTCGACAACATGTATTTGAAAACATCAAAATGGGACGAAACATACACATCAACTGGTTTTATATATTGTTTGAGCTTTGTACAAGAGAAATAAAGACATAGACATAACTTTTCAACTTCGCTATATCTAGTTTCTGCATCGTTCAAAACTCTGCTAGGGTAGTAAATGGGTCTTTCGACTCCATTTTCATCCTCTTGGGCTAACATGCTTCCCAAAGTTTTGTCGGATGCAACTATGTACAATCTCATACTCCTATTTCTACAAGGAGGCACCAAAATAGGTGGCTTGGTGAGGTACCCTTTGATCTTGTCGAAGGCTTCTTGTTGCTCTTGCCCCCACTCGAACCCTTCCTTATTCAATCGAAGTAAGGGTGATAAGGCTTGCGCTTTTCCACTTAGGTTAGATATAAATCTCCTTAAGAAGTTTATCTTGCCCAGCTGAGATTGCAGTTCCTTCTTGTTCGTTGGTGCTTTCGCTTCCAAGATTGCCTTCGTCTTGTTATGGTTGATTTCGATTCCTTTCTTGTGGACAACGAAGCCCAAGAAATCCCTAGCTTTCACACAGAATGCACACTTTAAAGGGTTCATCTTCAGACAATGCTTTCACATTCTTTCAAATGATTGTCGAAGGTGGTCTATATGGTTCTTCCTGGAAACAAATTTTACAACAATATCATCAATATATACTTGCATGAAAGTGTTAATAAAATCATGGAAGATAGAGTTCATTGCTCGCTGATATGTTGCCCCGGCGTTTTTTATGCCAAAAGGCATTACTACCCATTCGTAAGTGCCTAAGGCCCCAGGGCATCGAAAAGCTGTTTTCGGCACATCTTCTTCAGCAATGAAAATTTGATTGTATCCTGAGTAACCGTCGAGCATGCTCAGGTACTCGTGGCCAGCGGCAGAGTCTACAAGCATTTCCGCCACAGGCATAGGATATTCATCTTTGGTTGTTGCAGCATTCAGATCTCTGAAATCTATGCACACCCTCAATGTACCATTTTTCTTAATAACTGGCACAATGCTTGCAATCCATTCGACGTACCTCGTAGTTCGTATGAATTTTCACTTCAGCAGTCTTTCGACTTCCGTTTTGATCTTCGACAGTATTTCTGGAGCAAAGCGTCTTGGATTTTGTTTGACAGGCTTTTTCCCAGGTTTGATTGGCAACTGAAGTTCTACCAATCTTCTGTCGAGACCAGGCATCTCGTCGTAATCCCATGCAAAGCAGTCCTTGAACTCCTTCAGTAATTGGATCACTTCGACCCTGAGCTCTGGGTCTATTTTGGCACTGATGTAAGTGGGTCTGTTATCTAACCTTTCGCCCAAGTCGATTTCTTATAAAGGATCCTGTGCTAACATTTTGATGTTGTTCGCCAGGGGGTCCTTTTCGAAACCCAAAGGCTCATCGTCATAGATGGCGTCGAGCCTCTGTTCCTTCATTCCTTCTGTCGAGATATCGGGAGGTTCTGGGTCAAAATCTTTTCCAGGACCTATATCTGGTGGCTCTAGGTTAAAATCTTTTCCAGGACCTGCAGAAGGTAGCACGTGGTCATTGGCCTTGGTGGCCATATATTTTACTTCGGCTTCGAGAGCCGCTATCATTCTTGTTTCGGCTACATAAGCTGAAATTCGCTGAAACGCTTGTGACTCAGTCATTATCACTGAATTCTCTTCCCCAACCAGTTGGCTGCATGTCAGTTAGCCCACTGAAATCAATGTGGGACAAGTCTTTTTTATCCCATTGAAACCCATGGTCAGGATGCAGGTACAAGGAACAAAAAGCATTTGGCGCTGGCGCCATGTCGAAGTCAGGTGCTGGACATGGCCCAATGTGAGCCAATTTTTTGTCGAAGTCAGCTCTCCCTAGGTGATTAACTTCGCCTAAGTAGTAGCTCTGATCTGCTTCTATATTCTCGACAATCCCATCGGGACGCCATAATATCACCCTTTGGTGCATCAACGATGGTACTGCTCCGACACCATGTAACCATTCTCGGCCTAACAGTAGGTTGTAATTTGGTTTAGCCGATATGACCATGAACATGGTTGGTTGAAGGATGGATCCCACTTTGAGGTCTAGTTGAATCACACCCATGGTGGTCCCTATTCCGCCTTTGTAGTTTGATAGGACCATATTATGAGGCTTAATGTCTTCATCATTCTTGCCTACTTTTCTTAGCATGAATTGGGGAATTATGTTGATAGTCTCCCCACAGTCCACCAATATTTTGTTTACAGTGGCCTCTTCGAGCTTTGCCCTTATGAATAAAGGCTTGAGGTGACTTTTCATCGCCTCAATTGGTGGTTCGAAGAAACCATTTTGCTCTTCAGTGCAGCCATTACCCATGACAAAGTAGCATACTGGCCTATGCTTGGCCATCTCTTGTTCGACTTCCCAGT